ACTGATGGGAATATCATTAGGTCTGCAGGTCATGAATCAAAGTATTTGACAACTAAACATTTTTATATGGTGCTGGATATGAAAGGTATCACGTCCATCCTGAGGTCAACATGAATATATGAACTTAATTGAATCGCAACAGAAGTCAATAAGATCCTTTGGGATGTGCAGATGTTGGTTCCAATCAAAATGTCATGGCAATACATCGAATAGCTGTTGAAGTAGTTTAGTTGGCTAAAAGTAGTGGACACACTGGCCAACAAAGTGGGATGGTGTGGCTTCAAAAAGTATTATTCAGTCTTCATGCCAATCTTTTATTTGTTGCAGTATGACTATGGTGGCTGGATGCCCAACAGTCCCTCCACAATGCAACTTCCTCCACCAACCAGAAAGGGGAAAACAAATCAGGACACAATGCTGCAGACATTACCCAACAAGGGTGTAACAGCTAACGCAATGGCCGCCTTGTGGCTACTCAGCAAATCATCGTCTGACTACGTAAGATTAAGATCATGATTTGTGTACATTTTGTTCAAATGTGATTAAACCAAAATATCGCCTTTTAGCTACTGAAAATCTTGTACACTTTCCACGACAGCAGTATATCTTACCCATAGTCTTTGATTGATAAACATTTGAATGTTAGTGGGAAAAAGTGTACTTGTGTATAACAATGTGTCATTGATGTCATCAGGTCCCTCTTGGCCAGTACCCAGAGGCCCATTTCAACGAGACGTTTCCCTGCGAGCTGATAAAACACTTTCAAGGAATGCTTCAAGCGTTAAGTGCAAACATCAAAATCAGAAACTTGCCCCTGAAGGTCCCATACACATACATGGATCCAGAAAAGGTAGAAAATAGTGTGGCTATTTGAATATCAGAAGGTGTATGTTCCCGAGGTGCTGGCCAAATTCACCTTCATATTAACCAAAGTAGAAAAGGGGAACAACTGCATGTTATTAAAGGGGACCTATCATGCAAAATGCACTTTTGTACGTCTTTTATACATGAATATGTGTCCCCGGTGTTCCAGGGAACTCACCAAGTGTCAGAAAACACAACCCTCTCTCTTTTCCTCCACACCCAAATCTCTAAAAACGGGGCTGCAACGGATCTGATACAGACTGATACAGATTTGAACATTTCTCTGATGTCAGGACGGAGGAGCTCCGCCTATATAGCCAACTCTCCACCTATCAGGGGAATGAGAGGTTGCCGTGGCATGGTAACAGCATGGCAACATGACGCTCGTAACTCGGCCCCCTCCTTTGCAGGGGGGCGTGGTCAGCTGCAGCGCATGCAAAGACAGGGTGGAGGAGAGCAAAATAGAGCGAAATGAGGCATGGCTAAAATGCATGATCTGTTTGGTATTTTGAAAAATAAAACGTATAAATATACCTTATATAGGTATGGCCCTACAATATATCATTCAAATATAGCATGATAGGTCCACTTTAAATAATGTTGGTGTGGGGGAAGGAAACAATACTGCGTCTGATCATTGAGTGATGATCTGGGAAAAAAATGTAACAGTCTGATTGATAAAACGGAAAATGTACAGTTTTAAATCATAATCGACATGTTATTTCTTCTTATTAGGCCATTAATCAATACACAGGGTATCTTAACTAAATAAATAGCTCCTGGAAAAATATTATTTTGCATTACAACTGTAAGACTTAAATAAACTGCGCCTTATTACTTACGGTAATAATGAAAAGATAAATATTTGTAGAGGGAATTTTGTTTTGCCATACGCTACTTGGTTTAATTACTTATACTTATTTATATGATTAATAATGATATTAAATATATGAATACGCTTTTTTTTTGTAATGATTATTAATTCCTTCTGATTTCCATTTTAGTTCCCTTATTGAGCAAATGACCCAACTTCTTTAAGTGACTCTTTATGTATGTCAAAGCTACAGATTCAATAGGATTAAGAACATTTTATTAATTATTAATTGTATTTAACTATTTCTGGACACGGGTATAGTTATGTTGATATTACAGGTCCGGCCTTTATTATTAAACAAAAATTAAAATCTCTAAAACTTGCTTAGAGGAACCTGTGCACTTGAAGCAACTTGGTTTAATTACTTATACTTATTTATATGATTAATAATGATATTAAATATGTGAATACTTTTTGTTTTGTTTTTGTAATGATTATTCATTCCTTCTGATAGTCCTTTTAGTTCCCTTATTGAGCAAATGACTGTGCACTTGAAGCAAAGCTGAAGTAAGAAACAATGCAAAGAGTGCAAATACAACATATATAAATAAATAAGGTACCCTTATTGCACATAATGCATGTCCCATATTATCCCGTATAATAAAATAATAAAATAAAAGTGTGAGTGACTAGCAAATGATGGAGAGGGTGACGGTTATTGTCACATGCTGCAACATGTTGTGCAGCATCCTCTTTTAAGACAACACAAACATATAATCAGGCTCCTCCCTCAGGAGCCCAACATCCTAGAGAACTTGTTAAATCTGTGGGTGTGGGCTGCCCTCACCCTGCCGCCCCAGCACATTACAAAGAAGACCACAGCAACTCTTAAACAAAAGGGTAGAACATCCTCCACACTCTGTCGACATTGAAAGTAGACTCAGCAGTGATTTACAACAACAACAAATGCACTTATTCATAAGTATTTTTCTAAAAACAATCTGATAAATAATCCGAGGGTTTATTTGCAATTTAAAGATTTTAATCAATGGCTTTTTGGTCAATATGTTTATTAACAGGTTATGTGTTTAACTGTCTTTTGAACACATGAAGACAACATATGAACAAGAAGATACTCTTTTACTCTTAACCATTTTATGTTGTTCCATTTTTGTTTTATGTGAACGTTTTTCTGTTGCCTATAGTGTTGCTAATTGTTGTTGCTGGTCTTCAGCTTATGTGTAAACTTGATCAACAAAGACAGTAGGTGGAAGAGAGTTTGTGCAGAATCTGTTGCTATCAAGAAGAGGTAGAAAAGTGAGACGTGTGGTGTGACGTAGCGGGAGAAGTTGGGAGTGCGAGATTGAGAGCAGCTGGTGGAATGGCGTCTTTGAGTCCTGGAGAGGAGGATATGGAAAGTGCATCTGAAGGAGAAGGAGGATGGAATGAAGTAAGAACAAAGAGTTCAAGAAAGAAGATAGACATGTCAAGTGACAGTCTCAGTGAGTCTGATTCGCAGAATGAAATAAAAAGAGTAAAGCAAAGGATTGAGAATGAAGAGTGGAAAGTGATTGTGGAGTTTGGTGAGCAATCCGCAGTTAAGCTACATCCAGTGGCCCTGACTAAAGCGATTCACAAAGAAATTGGATCGATAAAGCAAGCAAGATTTCTGAGCAAAGGACGGATGTTGGTAGAAATTATAAATGCAAAACAACAGGAAAAGTTGCTGAAAATGAAGACCCTGAATGAAGTTCGAATTAAATGCCATGTTCCTGGAGCAAATCGGAAAACACTTGGAGTGATCAGTGGAGTTCCGATAGAAATCAGCATGGAAGAACTCAAGAAAGAAATTAAAGGGGGCAAAGTGTCTGTAGTTAAAATAAAATTATAAAATGCAACAACGTGCTTTAACCAGTAGGTGTCCCTTTCTATCAGCTGTGCACCGTTATGGCGTAAATACAGCCTATCTACCAATTGGATCAAATATAAAAGTCAGCCGAATTAGTGTTGATATTGCAAGGAGACGTATTGTGTGAAAAGAAATGTAAGATGTTGTTTAATTGCTTATATATTTAAGATCCACGTCAAGTTTTCAGTTTTGGCGGCAGTTCCTGTTTGTCTAGAAGTCTTGTCATCAGGGCTCTATAAATAGAGTTAACTACGGCAGATATGTAATATTTAATGCAGCCGAAACGTGTATTACAATGCCGTTATGTGATGACTTTCAAAGAGAAAAGCAAGCACACTCGAAATAATGTATTATTTAATTTTTTTATACAGTCTATGGTTGCTGAGGATTGTGGGTAATGTCCGTCAAACTTCCGGGTTCCTCCATGGGATCTTATTTCGGAAAAAGTATGCATTGAAGTCAATGGAGAGAGAAAGATTATCTTTCGATCCCGTTTGAATTGTGCCACGAATTACACATATGATGTTTATGTTTGTCAATCTTAAATAATAATTTCCATGTCAAAAAAGTCAGTTTATCGTAAAACTGTTGAAATATAAGACTATGAAATGTGTGTGTATGTACAGCTCTCAACATGCCCAGACTTGTAGTGATTTTCACCTCTTTTAATACTTTTAAAAGTATTAATAAAAATATGGGGAATACGGATCTCGGGGTCTCCCTGCTCCCTGTGCGCAGATGCGACGCGTCATATGACGTCACATGTTTGGCATGTCTCGATTGAATATGCTTTATTTAAAACTAAAACAAGGACAATAAACAAAGCAGTCTTCACAACGGCCGGACAAAATACTTTGAGCCGCCCTATAGCCAAAGCCCGAGACACTGTTTAAAGCATAATAAAGACAATATATAGAGAGCATAATGGAAAATAACGTATCTATGCCACAATTTTAGATGCAGATTTTGTTAAACTAATACGTTTGCGCTGTGGACCAACACTATAAATTGAGGGGGAAGGGGGTAGCAATAAAGATAACACCATTAAACAGTTACACAACATAACAGACATAATATCGATAGCAGCGTCCCTAGCAACCACCTTGGTAACAATGAAAACGTTGTATTTACACAATTTCCTGAAGTATTCTTCGTAATAACTAGCAAACTAAAGATCATGTACATACACTGCACACATAATCTGAAATAACAACTCATATTTCTCGCATCAAATGACATCAAAACGCATTTTAATGGCCAAACTAACCTTAAAATAGGCATTTTCTACCGAGAATAAAACGAAGGTCGGCCATGTTTTTTTATTTCTGCGGAGAGAAAGTTGAAGATCACGTGACATAGACGCCAGCCATTGGAAATGAATGGTGAAAAAAAACGTAGGGATTCTACAATTTCAGAGGCGTTTTTGTAGAAATACTACGTCCCAAGTTGTGGACCAACGTAGTTATTACACGTTTAGATGTGAGACTTGGTTGGTTCGCCACTAGTGTTATGTTGGCTCATATAGGCCGTTTTTTTATTGATTTTAATTTTATAAAAGATTAGACACAAAATGAATTATTTAAAGCGTTTATTTGTTTTAATCTGGATGACTACAGTTTACACCTTTTTATAACCCAAAATTCAGTATCACATAATTAGAACATTTCACTAGACACATTTCTAGACAAATTACTAGAAAAATCTTTGATTTTGAATGTCAAATGTGAAGTTTTCTGTTGCCTCAAAAATGCACTTCTCGTAACTCAAGAATATGTGAAAGTTATTAAAAAGGTTAAAATCCATTTATATCTAAAAGGGGTGTCCTATCTTGTAAAAGCTTCATATTTTGGTACTTACTTCACTTTTACCTCATCTCATCAACAAAGTTTACATACGTCCTGTTTAATAATTAATAATTCAATCTCTCTTCCATCAGGTTCAAACAACTATTGCAAAGTTATTTTGTTCAGAAAAGACTTCACAAATCACAAATGGATCCTGACTTCTGAGATTCTGAAATTACCCTTTAATCACTCATTTTAACCATAAATCCTAATGCTCTTTTTTTCTGATTTACAGACATCTGACATTGCACAGCAACGAATGAGAATGTGTCTGGAAGGTCTGCCCTTATTTGTCCGTGACAGTGCACAGAAGCTTTTCCTGAAATGCCTGGTGTGTACAGTATGGTTGTCCATTAATCATAAGTCTACATTTAATGTCATACAAGTGCAGTTATTAAGTTTTCCTATAATCATAGATAAAACTGTTTTGAAGATGAAGCCCGATTCTCAGGATAAATACTAGACCTACATAACTACTAGAGAACTAGTTGTAGAACAGAACAGTTAACATTTTCACAGTAATTATTGTGTCATTGCTGAGCAATCAAACCAGTGTTTTATTTGCAGTTATATATTATCCTTATTTGGTAAATAATAATTGCTTATCTGCTTTCTACATGCAGGACACTGATCCGGGAGAAAAGCAGACTGCTGGTGTCAAGATGGGTCTTCACTGTTCTCGTAGATGATGGTGGACCCACCCCGTCTCAAATGGTCCATAGTATTGCTGTTGTTTTGGAAGAGACAATTGTACTCTCGGATCTACCAGACATCCCAACTGCATTTGTATAACTTTTTGGTCTACTCTATTGGCGCGTTTCCACTACACGGCCTCGCTCGGTATGGCTAGGCCTCGTTAGGCCTTGTTAGGACCGGCTCACTTTATGCTGCGTTTCCATTACAGTTTAGGAACTGTAATACTATAGTAACGCAGTGTAGGTGGAGCTGCGACGTCATCTTCAATGAGAACCCCAGAAAAACAACACAGCCGTTAGCTGTTAGCACTCAAGCTCACAGCTCCTCAAATCTGTTCAGAAACTAGACAAAAGTTAAACAAGTACAAACCACAGAGTGTCTCTGTCATGGCGAATACAGTCGCTGGTTTATTTATGTCTGTATAGGCTGTTGTTGTGAGTGTGGACGGTCGGAGCATACACTGCGTTAGCTTAGCCGATCTCCATTAGACAACACGCATTTTAAAAGGTTTTTCGCCTGCCGTCTGTCTGCAGACTTGTCAAAGCATTAATTCATGGTTTTTACTAACCGGTATCAGTATGTTGTTACTTCGGCATCATTTTGAAACGTGTATTACAATTAAATCACGGTCAAATATGTTCATCTTGTTGTAGTTGTAGCCCCCTTGCCAGCGATTCTCTCTCTAGTTTAGCATACTCAGCCCGACTCAGCCTGGTTGTTCCTGGCCCTAGAACCACGATTTTATGGGGCCAGAAAAACTGTGAATTAGGACCCGCTAGCCGGTACTAGGCCAAGTGGAAACGCAACCAAAAACGGGACGCTGACGTCACAGCTCTCTTAAACGGGGCTCCGCGCTGCAGTGGAAACGCTCCATAAGCCCTGAACATTGAGTTTCCAAAAGAACACAAGTACACTTTTGAGACTGTTCAGGACATCTTCATGGGACTTTCCACCAATTGCTCACAGCGGGTCAGGAGTTTGAAAACAAAGCTCTTAATCTAAGTGAGCATTGGCAAATTTTGTTAAACTAATACGTTTGCGCTGTGGACCAACACTATAAATTGAGGGGGAAGGGGGTAGCAATAAAGATAACACCATTAAACAGTTACACAACATAACAGACATAATATCGATAGCAGCGTCCCTAGCAACCACCTTGGTAACAATGAAAACGTTGTATTTACACAATTTCCTGAAGTATTCTTCGTAATAACTAGCAAACTAAAGATCATGTACCTACACTGCACACATAATCTGAAATAACAACTCATATTTCTCGCATCAAATGACATCAAAACGCATTTTAATGGCCAAACTAACCTTAAAATAGGCATTTTCTACCGAGAATAAAACGAAGGTCGGCCATGTTTTTTTATTTCTGCGGAGAGAAAGTTGAAGATCACGTGACATAGACGCCATTGGAAATGAATGGTGAAAAAAAACGTAGGGATTCTACAATTTCAGAGGCGTTTTTGTAGAAATACTACGTCCCAAGTTGTGGACCAACGTAGTTATTACACGTTTAGATGTGAGACTTGGTTGGTTCGCCACTAGTGTTATGTTGGCTCATATAGGCCGTTTTTTTATTGATTTTAATTTTATAAAAGATTAGACACAAAATGAATTATTTAAAGCGTTTATTTGTTTTAATCTGGATGACTACAGTTTACACCTTTTTATAACCCAAAATTCAGTATCACATAATTAGAACATTTCACTAGACACATTTCTAGACAAATTACTAGAAAAATCTTTGATTTTGAATGTCAAATGTGAAGTTTTCTGTTGCCTCAAAAATGCACTTCTCGTAACTCAAGAATATGTGAAAGTTATTAAAAAGGTTAAAATCCATTTATATCTAAAAAGGGTGTCCTATCTTGTAAAAGCTTCATATTTTGGTACTTACTTCACTTTTACCTCATCTCATCAACAAAGTTTACATACGTCCTGTTTAATAATTAATAATTCAATCTCTCTTCCATCAGGTTCAAACAACTATTGCAAAGTTATTTTGTTCAGAAAAGACTTCACAAATCACAAATGGATCCTGACTTCTGAGATTCTGAAATTACCCTTTAATCACTCATTTTAACCATAAATCCTAATGCTCTTTTTTTCTGATTTACAGACATCTGACATTGCACAGCAACGAATGAGAATGTGTCTGGAAGGTCTGCCCTTATTTGTCCGTGACAGTGCACAGAAGCTTTTCCTGAAATGCCTGGTGTGTACAGTATGGTTGTCCATTAATCATAAGTCTACATTTAATGTCATACAAGTGCAGTTATTAAGTTTTCCTATAATCATAGATAAAACTGTTTTGAAGATGAAGCCCGATTCTCAGGATAAATACTAGACCTACATAACTACTAGAGAACTAGTTGTAGAACAGAACAGTTAACATTTTCACAGTAATTATTGTGTCATTGCTGAGCAATCAAACCAGTGTTTTATTTGCAGTTATATATTATCCTTATTTGGTAAATAATAATTGCTTATCTGCTTTCTACATGCAGGTCACTGATCCGGGAGAAAAGCAGACTGCTGGTGTCAAGATGGGTCTTCACTGTTCTCGTAGATGATGGTGGACCCACCCCGTCTCAAATGGTCCACAGTATTGCTGTTGTTTTGGAAGAGACAATTGTACTCTCGGATCTACCAGACATCCCAACTGCATTTGTATAACTTTTTGGTCTACTCTATTGGCGCGTTTCCACTACACGGCCTCGCTCGGTATGGCTAGGCCTCGTTAGGCCTTGTTAGGACCGGCTCACTTTATGCTGCGTTTCCATTACAGTTTAGGAACTGTAATACTATAGTAACGCAGTGTAGGTGGAGCTGCGACGTCATCTTCAATGAGAACCCCAGAAAAACAACACAGCCGTTAGCTGTTAGCACTCAAGCTCACAGCTCCTCAAATCTGTTCAGAAACTAGACAAAAGTTAAACAAGTACAAACCACAGAGTGTCTCTGTCATGGCGAATACAGTCGCTGGTTTATTTATGTCTGTATAGGCTGTTGTTGTGAGTGTGGACGGTCGGAGCATACACTGCGTTAGCTTAGCCGATCTCCATTAGACAACACGCATTTTAAAAGGTTTTTCGCCTGCCGTCTGTCTGCAGACTTGTCAAAGCATTAATTCATGGTTTTTACTAACCGGTATCAGTATGTTGTTACTTCGGCATCATTTTGAAACGTGTATTACAATTAAATCACGGTCAAATATGTTCATCTTGTTGTAGTTGTAGCCCCCTTGCCAGCAATTCTCTCTCTAGTTTAGCATACTCAGCCCGACTCAGCCTGGTTGTTCCTGGCCCTAGAACCACGATTTTATGGGGCCAGAAAAACTGTGAATTAGGACCCGCTAGCCGGTACTAGGCCAAGTGGAAACGCAACCAAAAACGGGACGCTGACGTCACAGCTCTCTTAAACGGGGCTCCGCGCTGCAGTGGAAACGCTCCATAAGCCGTGAACATTGAGTTTCCAAAAGAACACAAGTACACTTTTGAGACTGTTCAGGACATCTTCATGGGACTTTCCACCAATTGCTCACAGCGGGTCAGGAGTTTGAAAACAAAGCTCTTAATCTAAGTGATCATTGGCAAATTGTCCTAACGGATTTACAAGATATCCCCATTTCATTTGCCTGCCTTCACCGCTGTTTGTGACTTTAACATTGAGTTCCCAAAACCACAAGTACTCTTTTGAAGCTGATACAAAATATTACAGAAACTTGAAAACCAAGTTCTCTCTCTAAGTCACAAGCTAATATTTTCTTTATTTGTATTTCTTAAGCTGGCTGGCTTAGTTTGCGCTTGTAACATTTCAAGGACTAAGTACTTAATCATATCCACTTTCTAGGCTGTGACCTTTGTTATTACACGATATATTGAAAACAAGGGAAATTTGAAAGGAGAATGCTCCATCAAATTCCCCCTAAAACATGTTGTTTGACTTAGAACAAAGACGGTTTACTTTGGAAACTGCTGAAAAGTGAGTCTCAAGTTTAGCAAATTCTTTATCTTTACAGTTAAAATGTTATCTAGTGACATGAACAGCTTGCAACATTTTCAAAGACATGTTCTCACTCTTAGGGCACAAGCACATTTTTTCTCTAACATTTTTTCACATTTTTCTTAAGCTGGCTTGCCTACTCGTTGTTGTAAGATTTCAACGACTAGTTACTGCCACAATTGTTGTCTTGCAGCTTTTTTAAAGATGGAGCTGTTTTTTTTTGTATAAAGGGCCATATGAGATTTTACTAAGTAATGGAAGAGTTGGAAATGGTGTGATCCCTCACAGAGTTGTGTTGGGAGAAATCACTGGCTGTTTACATGCCTTTTGTCTTGCAAGATCTTTGGAAGCTTCTGTGATATGTACAAACTTTAAAAAAGATACGTTTTACAGATTGTTCCTTTTACAATATCGTTGTTGTTGTTGTTTGGTAACTGTTAGTGAAGATGGTTTTATAACTTGGATAACTTTGCCATTTGTTATTCCATAGCTGCTATTGTTTTGACAGCAGGCTTAAGGGTGGTTTGCACATTTATGGATTTCATCCACATTTGTTATGAACCCTAGCCTTATGGAAGAGTTTTAGTAATGGGGTATTTTCAATGTCTAGTTAATGTTACACATAAGCATATTCAGTATCATTCAAGTAGTAATCGTTTCAATCGGAACATAACACTTTTGGCAGGAATTTCCAAAATGTACTTGTACATCTATTTAGAAGTTTAGAAGTCTCACAAAGATGACCTCTAAAATTACTTTATCTGAAATATATTTATTAAATATATTATATATATATTATTATATTATATTTATACATATTATATAATTATATTATATATTAAATATATTAATTTTCTGTAGTTTCTACACAATGCAAGCAAATTCAACACTTTCGAACTGGAAATAATTTCAACTTGAATGATACACAAAATAGTTTACAGTTTTAAGAATGTCTAATATTTGAATAAGAATTTCAACAAATGTAGTATTTGTTTTTTACAGTATTTTTATAACAGAGAATTTGTTGGCAATTCTAAGTTTGTAATACAAATCTGAAGTTTGTATACATTTGATACATTTTCTGAAACAAAAATATTAACTTTGCACAACTTTCACTTAATGGAATTGTTAGTATGTAGTACTCAATAAGAAGTTTCTATACATATGAAAGGTACATTTTCGAGACCAAAAATAATAACTTGGCACAACTTTAACTTACAGTATTGGAATTCTTTGTATGTGAAACTCAAAGTTAGAAGTTTTTGAAAGATACATTTTCCAAACCAAAGATAATAAGTTTGCACAACCTTTACTTATTTAAAATGTTTAGTATGCAGAACTCCAAACTTGAAGTTGTACAAAATTTGAATGAGTTATCTCGACAAAATATAATTAGTTGACTCAATTGAAAAGAGAAACTTACACATTTTAGTTAGCCTCAAAACTTAAAAATCTTGTGCAGCCTATTGCCTTGAAATTTTGAGTTTTTTTTTTTTTTACAGTGTGGCATCTCAACAATGTGGCCAGACCGTGGCCCGTGACATGTCTTGCGAATTCTCCGGCCGAAGCTCCAAATAAACCATCAGTGTTTGCCATCAAAGCTCCAGCTCTCCTCGTGTCTCTCTGAGTCCTGTTTCCAATTGCTTCAGAAGTTTCCCCCACAATGTTGATATTCTGAGTACTTTTTTAAAGGAAGAGGACTTATCTCTGGGAGCCAGAATTCTTGTTGGTTGCAAGGGGATCAAATACTTATTTTACACAATTAAATGCAAATTCATTTATATCTCTTATATAATATATATCTCTGGATATTCTTTTTGATATTCTGTCTCTCATTTGTCAAATAAACCTACCATTAAAATAATAGACTGTTCATTTCTTTGCAAGTGGGTAAACTTGCAAAATCGGAGAAGAGAAATAAGCGGCTAATTGAACAATCTGAGCCGTGGTTGGCAGGACCAACCAGAAGAACCAGAGCCGGCAAGCCCAAGATGTTGCTATCAACATCTGCAGTGTAGAGAATAGCCCTTTGGCTCTGTTTGACCTGAAAGCAGAACGAAAGCCACTAATTGACCACTCTGAGCCAAACCAGAGCTGTCAAGCCCAAAATGTTGCTATCGATAACTGCAATGTAAGTAGCTTAATTCATATTTCTTTGTATCTAGGAAATGTCCCTGTCAGGCACTCAGTTGATAGCTATCGCTAACTGTGTTGATTCGTTTAAATATGGTAAACAATGCTCAATGATTCTCAGGAAATCTGGAACTTGTTTGAACAACCTTGGATATTGTCCAACAAAGCAACAGTGACAAATTATATTTTTCATCGTTACCACATAACTGAAGGCGGTGCTGGCAGTTACAGTTCGCCAAATTTTATGAAACCACTTTCAGGATCGTTAATCAACTTGGATTCCGATGAAAGGCAAGTAAGTGCATGATTGAGGCAACATATTCCTTTTCAAGTATACAAATTCTCACGCATTGAGATCCACAAAATTGCCCTCCCACCTTGTCTTTTATTCCTACAAAATGCCAGAGAAAAACGACTCTATGACTGATAAAACCTCAGGTTGCACAACGAGAATACTGACAGCAAACAACATACAAGCTTCGACTGGTTTAGTTTGCATTTTGGTTTGCTGAGAATGTATGTAATATAAATGACAATAAAATATGTACTGTACATTTAAGTGGACACATAAAGTGTCCACTTAAATGCTCTCATTAAATAAGATTGCATTTAGCTGACTCTTTAATCCAAGACGACTTACAATAAGGGCAGTAAGCCATAATGATTCATACTAAGGACAACAAGAAAACTGCTGCCACATTCACTTCAAACGAGCCGGACCATTGAAAGTGCTGATGCATAAGTAAAACTCTTAAGTACCTTTTTATTTTTTATCAGCCAAGGTACAAGTGAAACAGTTGGGTTTTCAGTTTACAACGCAAGATGTGTAGACTCTCTGCTGTCTATACGTGAAGCAAAAATTAATGTATTTTTTCAGCTGTCCCTGGGTCCACTTCAAAGTGATTATCTTTTGTTATTATTATTAGTTCATATTTGTTTTTGTTTTGAATTCATGGGTAGAGAGAAAACACATATTTATCTTTTTCAGATCACATACCGTTGCCTTAAAAAACATTATTTGTTTATTTTCCTGTGGTTTCTCAGTTGCAGTAACTGTTCAGCTCAGCTGACTAAAGGGATGTTTCACTCAGACAAAATAACCTTGACTGTCCAGAAAAGGTTTTGAACATATCGCTTCATTATAAGATAATGTCCAACATGTATTTTTTAATGTTTCATGTGAAAAGTGTTTTAGCCAGTACAAAATAAACTCAAGGCAGCTTTTAAGTCAGAATTTACTTGAACACACTGAGCTACACTGATATTTTGAATGAGCGAGGAAGCATGAGTTGATCTGGCGTGCTGAATTTTATACACAATTCTTTGTATGTGAAACTCAAAGTTAGAAGTTTTTGAAAGATACATTTTCCAAACCAAAGATAATAAGTTTGCACAACCTTTACTTATTTAAAATGTTTAGTATGCAGAACTCCAAACTTGAAGTTGTACAAAATTTCAATGAGTTATCTCGACAAAATATAATTAGTTGACTCAATTGAAAAGAGAAACTTACACATTTTAGTTAGCCTCAAAACTTAAAAATCTTGTGCAGCCTATTGCCTTGAAATTTTGAGTTGTCCTAACTTTTTTTTTTTTACAGTGTGGCATCTCAACAATGTGGTCAGACCGTGGCCCGTGACATGTTTTGTGAATTCTCCGGCCGAAGCTCCAAATAAACCATCAGTATTTGCCATCAAAGCTCCAGCTCTCCTCGTGTCTCTCTGAGTCCTGTTTCCAATTGCTTCAGAAGTTTCCCCCACAAAGTTGATATTATGAGTACTTTTTTAAAGGAAGAGGACTTATCTCTGGGAGCCAGAATTCTTGTTGGTTGCAAGGGGATCAAATACTTATTTTACACAATTAAATGCAAATCCATTTATATCTCTTATATAATATATATCTCTGGATATTCTTTTTGATATTCTGTCTCTCATTTGTCAAATAAACCTACCATTAAAATAATAGACTGTTCATTTATTTGCAAGTGGGTAAACTTACAAAATCGGAGCAGAGAAGTAAGCGGCTAATTGAACAATCTGAGCCGTGGTTGGCAGGACCAACCAGAAGATCCAGAGCCGACAAGCCCAAGATGTTGCTATCAACATCTGCAGTGTAGAGAATAGCCCTTTGGCTCTGTTTGACCTGAAAGCAGAAAGAAAGCCACTAATTGACCACTCTGAGCCAAACCAGAGCTGTCAAGCCCAAAATGTTGCTATCAATAACTGCAATGTACAGTAGCTTAATTCATATTTCTTTGTATCTAGGAAATGTCCCTGTCAGGCGCTCAGTTGATAGCTATCGCTAACTGTGTTGATTCGTTTAATATGGTAAACAATGCTCAATGATTCTCAGGAAATCTGGAACTTGTTTGAACAACCATGGATATTGTCCAACAAAGCAAAAGTCACAAGTAATCCTTTCCATTGTCCCCACATAACTGAAGGCGGTGCTGGCAGTTACAGTTCGCCAAATTTTATGAAACCACATTAAGGATCGCTGAACAACTTGGTTTCGATGAAAGGCAAGTAAGTGCATGATTGAGGCAACATATTCCTTTTCAAGTATACAAATTCTCACGCATTGAGATCCACAAAATTGCCCTCTCACCTTGTCTTTTATTCCTACAAAATGCCAGAGAAAAACAACTCTATAACTGATAAAACCTCAGGTTGCACAACGAGAACACTGACAGCAAACAACATACAAGCTTCGACTGGTTTAGTTTGCATTTTGGTTTGCTGAGAATGTATGTAATATAAATTACAATACAAAATGTACTGTACATTTAAATGCTCTGATTAAATAAGATTGCATTTAGCTGACTCTTTAATCCAAGACGATTTACAATAAGGGCAGTAAGCCATAAGGATTCATGCTAAGGACACCAAGAAAACTGCTGCCACATTCACTTCAAACGAGCCGGACCATTGAAAGTGCTGATGCATAAGTAAAACTCTTAAGTACCTTTTTATTTTTTATCAGCCAAGGTACAAGTGAAACAGGTGGGTTTTCAGTTTACAACGCAAGATGTGTAGACTCTCTGCTGTCTATACGTGAAGCAAACATGCATGTATTTTTCAGCTGTACCTGGGTCCACTTCGAAGTGATTATCTTTTGTTATTATTATTAGTTCATATTTGTTTTTGTTTTGAATTCATGGGTAGAGAGAAAACACATATTTATCTTTTTCAGATCACATACCGTTGCCTTAAAAAACATTATTTGTTTATTTTCCTGTGGTTTCTCAGTTGCAGTAACTGTTCAGCTCAGCTGACTAAAGGGATGTTTCACTCAGACAAAATAACCTTGACTGTCCAGAAAAGGTTTTGAACATATCGCTTCATTATAAGATAATGTTCAACATGTTTTTTTTAATGTTTCATGTGAAAAGTGTTTTAGCCAGTACAAAATAAACTCACAGCAGCTTTTAAGTCATCATTTACTTGAACACAGTGAGCTACACTGATATTTTGAATGAGCGAGGAAGCTTCTGCTGATCTGGCGTGCTGAATTTTATACACAATCATGTAAGTATTTTTCCTCATTGACTTCCATGTCAATAAATATAAGTACAAGACTGTCTAATGTCTGCACACTATGACAATGCATTTGTTGTTTTTTTGTCAGCATTCTCATATTATTTTCACAATTCCTGCTTAAAAAAAGCCTGGTCTTTATTGCAAGTAAGGACCCATAATAACACTTAATAAATATGATCTCTTCTTATGTAACAAGACATGAAAATATAAGTGTTAATTAAGTCTAAATAACTCAAAATGTGGTATTTCTATCTAAGAATATGTTCCCTATTTTAAAGTGAAGTCTTGTTCATAACCAATAAGCTAGTAATTTGACTCTAATTGACCTGAACAGGTTCCCTATTCTAAAGTTGCCTCCTCTTCACACTTTGTAAATACATTATAGCACACACCTACTGAAATTAACCTCAACAGTACATGAACAAAGTAGGCACACGTTAAAATATCTGTTTTATTATGAACCACTAAAGAGAGGTTCAGACACATGTACCAAAACATGTCAACTTCAAAAGCAGTTAAAAATGATGTATTGAAGTCAATGGCGAGAGAAAAAAATTATCTTTCGATCCCGTTTGAATTGTGCCATGAATTACACATATGATGTTTGTCAATTTAAAAGATAATTTTGCAAGTAAAAAAAAAAGAAATGATCGTACAACTGTGAAGTAACACTTTTTTTTTTGTGTGAAACCGCTCAATGAACTACATCTCTGGTCTCGCACAACACACGTTACCAACACCAAGACGGCCGTCACGTTAGCACATTTCGCCTCTTTCTTTCAGAAAAGTATTAAACGAGGAGAAAATCACTACAAGTCTGGGCATGTTGAGAGCTGTACATACACAAAAGGGGAGTTAGTCGGTTCCGTATGCATTTTCTAGTTCTACTACTTCTTTCTGGACACTCCCACAAACTGTTAGTATAAATAGCAGAATCAGTGGGGATTACCTTTATCGAAAGAGCCTTTCTTCAGAGAAACTTCTCGCTCTCATTAAAAGGTAAGAGAGATGCTTTGTGATTGTTGATCAGTTAAGCAATGACTGGACAGTAACACATTCAGTGGGACATTTTATATTAGTTGTATAATACTTTTTGCTTAAGTCATTTTAATTATGAAACCAGAATTTGAATGGTTTCTTTGCACTGAGGTCGATGTAATCACAGTTACTCGTATTAGTACTGAATGGTTATTATAGTTATCTCACAACCAGGATTCTTCTGCTTTTCA